GGCAGAGGGAACATGGGGTTCCCACACGGGGGGGGTCGTCTACTCGTCTGTAGATGGCCCGAGGTATGTCGGGGCACCAGGGACTTCCTTTCTAGGGTATACCTGGTTCCCCGGCTATTAGTACCCAAGACGGCGTGCGGTTTTAGTCGGTTCGAGTCCGACATGCCACCGATAGGTGGTATCCGAGGGGATTTCCGCACGGAAAAAAAAAGGGGCTGTCGAAGTCGCATGTGTTGCCCTCATCTATCATGCGATGGACTCGGCACCCGCACGGTGAATCCATAGAACGCTAAGAAATAGGTCTATTATAAAACTGAGGGCAAAGGCTAGGAAGAGAACTTAAACTGGGATAGCCTCATTTTTCAACAGTATGTGTATCATTCCTGTAAGTATTATTCGTTAATTAGGTACCAAAAAGTAATGGGTGTGCCACCAAGGTGCCACGTTCTTCCCTAATCTCCCGCACCGTGTAGACATTATAATTACAATAAATTTACAATTATAGCAATTTACATACAAGGTTTTGGGTCATAGGACATAGACCAAGACGCCATTGATTTATAATAATATAATATTGGAAATTTTATTTTTATATAAAATCTATAAAGAAACGAATAAGAATAGTTAATTAAATTGAAACTTAGAACAGCCGATGGTTATGTATATTTCCTATTATGTAATGCTACTTAGTGCATGTCCGTTACCGTGAAGTTTAATCATCCAAAATTTAAAAAACCGGTCAGGTACGAGTCGAACTCGTGCGCCGAGGGTTCCGTACCTACCCAGATTTTACGTAGATTTTTGGGAAAATTTGTAAGTACCAAAATTTATCTTAATTTTCAACTTTTTTTATTTTTTTTTGGAATTATTCTGAAAAATACTTACAAGTTTTCGCGAAAATCGAAATTTGTCAATATCTTTTTATCGTGTTGACTCAGGACCTTGATTTTTATACACCTAATAGGGACCATAGATCTCAGTATCTGATATAAATTTCGATTTGCTAGTTCTACCCGTTCCTGAGAAAATCGGTGGTGACACACGGACAGACGGACAGACCGACAGCCGGACAAGACAGTGATCTTATAAGGGATTCAAGGACGTACAAGTCAATGATTTTTACCTTTCAGGTACGGAACCCTAATACTCTTATTCGTGAAGAAAATTCTTTTGCCCGTTTTTAACAAATATGGCTCATGAAACAACATCATATTCGAAATACTAACATTTTAAAACAATAATTGCTATATAGTTCAAAATATGTATATTATTGCCAACGGGGTCAAGTATATATTTTGACTCGTCATGGTACAAAAGTCTAAACAACCATAGTTCAAGTTATACTGGTCAATTTCATAAACTAGGACATTTAAAGCGGTCAAAATGCGAACACCATATGATCTCTATCATTACTGTATTTTATTATTGAACAAAGATTGTGGTAAGCGACTTTCAGAAGATACACATATGTAGGTATCCCTAAAGCCTTTGCCCACAGCTTCGCTCCCATAATATATCTTTTCTATTCTTTGGAAACAGTATTTTTAAGTACGAGTATGTGGGTGTATTTTCTGAATGACAAATTTGCTTTGTCCTTTTCTATAACCTTGACAACATACATTACATTTCCACGATTGGATGAACGAAAAAACTTTTTTTTAATACTTATATTAGATACCTACTTTAATTTCATAGTTTATTTACATATTCAAATACTGTTTTGATAATAAAAAAAAAAACTTAGCACACTTACGTTCCATATTTTTTATTTGATTAATATATTTGCCAATGTCTTTGTTTATACCTACATACTTCAATTTCCCGAACAAAAGTTGTTCTTTCAAGGCCAATGATGCATTCCGGTGACGCCCATCACACTTCATTATTATCACACTAGTATATAAACGGTGTAATGTATGTGCGTATGCATTAGTGTATCCAACTCTCTAATATAACACATTCACACTCAAGATGATGAAACTGGTGGTGTTATCTTGCTTGCTGGCGACTGCGGCGGCCGGGGGTCTGCTTGGCCCTCTGGGGTACACGGCTCCACTTGCGTATACGGCGCCTATAGCGTACACAGCACCGTTGTTAACACCAAGCAATTACAGAGGGCCGCTGTCCCTCGCACCTGGTCAACCGGCTAACATCCTTGCCGCTGACGGTAGGCCACTGGACACTTTGGACGTGAATTTGGACCGCTCTGCACACTTCACTGCCAAGGCGATCGAGGGCTCCGGTCTGCACTTGCTAAAGAAACGTTCTGCTCCGATAATTGCACCACTCGCGTACCAGGGTATCGCTGTAGCACCTACGCGGTTGGTTTCTAATGTAATCCCTTACTCCGCACCTTTGCTGTCAACACGCATCGCCGCACCCTACGCGTACGCGAACGCGCCCTTAGTACAATGGTGAAGGACTAACGATACACATAATATGTATGGACTTGAATAAACCGATCAATTATTAATTCTGGCTATTACTTACCTATTTACTACATAATGTATATATCCTATTATTCTCCAAGACTGTTTATCAACTACATCATTGCCCGTTTATTGCAACAAGAATCTATCAAATCACACACATAACTTTTGCCATCTTTCGCATTCTTTTATACAATAACTGTGTATATAAAGAATACTGAAGAAGATGTACTACTTTAGAAACTTTTGGCCATTTTAGCTCTATTTTTCGATTTTATTTACTGCATTCAAGAAGACCTTCGTTCAGCAGTGGACGGCGATAGGCTGATGATGATGATGAGATAAATACTTAGAGCAATCTATTATTACAGCTTGTCCATTACTGATATTTCATAGATAAATATAATATGCTCATGAATATATAAAAATCAGAACAATATATGCCTACCATATTTTCAAAAGTAGTTATGATATATGTTTTAATTAATTCAGTTTTTCAAGACAATTTTGGAACTGTTTTGTCTTCGTACCTATCGTTTGTAAAGCGATTTCCTATTTTATTATTTTGTAGTCATTGAAGTTGTTGCGTTAGTAAAATGTACCTAATTGAAAACATGCCTATCACTAATAATATTTCTCCCTCTTACAATGGAGCACTACTATCGTTTCGCCTTATTAAAGTAGATTTGTATATGTAGGTATTATATATTGTGTAAATGTATTAAGTAAATAGACCTAATGGAATGTTTACAGAAAAACAATGATGTCTTTAATTTAATTCATTCATTCCCTGGTAATAAATTAGTCTCAAACCTGAAATGAAAAGCAGTCCATAGTGTCGGCAAAATAACATGCCAAGATATATGGGTTGCGCGCTTACCCAAATAATAATAATAACCTTACACATCTCACACACGGCCGTCTGATCCCAAACTAGACATAACCTTTACGATTGTAACTTGACCACTAATAGATATACTTATATATTTCTAAATACACACATATTATAGATAAATTACACCCAACTATTTGGCCAGGGTGGGAACGGAACCCTCGTGGATCCGATTCCTTCCCAGGACAATGTCTGCTATGCCAAAGGTCGTCTCCTGGCTTAGCAGTCAGGGTCAAATACAACGAGACCAACAAGCCTGACAATAAATAAACGTCAATATTACAAACATAATGTCTTATTTTCAGGTGCATATCTAGAAATATTAATGTGCTACTACTAAAGTGTTTTACAGATTTTGTGTTGAAGTTGAGTTTGATATAAATACTAAATACCTATGCAATTTACTTACAGATCAACCTGTAACAATGCTTTACTTTCCTAAGCAGCTACGAACACCAGAACGAAGTTCAGAAGCAATCGGTGTTGACTGGCAAGGGAAACACCTGCTCTTTACTGATACCTATCGTTTACTTCAAGTTTCGAGTGAATTCATAGATTACTAACTTAGTAACTAACTTTTTTTGTAATGGCTACTTCTTAGAAGTCATGTGACACGACAATGTCACTGAGTCGGTTTCCAGTTAATATAATAATATTTGAAAAAAATCAGATTTTTAAAAGTTTTTGGGGAATACAGGGGTGCGTTACATACGAAGGCCTGTATGCCCGAAAAAGTGAAGCTGACTGAAGCTCAAATAAACTTCAATGGTATGGTACCAATACAACACTTACTGTAGTGCAAGCTACAAAAGTGGCTTTAGATCGTGCCGGTATTCTTTGTAAGTTTAATTGACAAAGTAGTAGTAGAAGTACAGTCAACGACAAAAGTTAGTTATGTCAAACTACTTTTTCAAAAACCATTCTCAGGGGATATGATGATCGCTCGATAGCCTGATTGCGGCTATCGTGCGGAGCGAGAGTGCGTGGAACTCTGCCGTCTCCTTCTGCGAGCAAGTTATGCTCGCGAAGGAGACGGCGGAGCGGGACCGGGAGAGGTTTAGAACTCTCCCGGACCGCCAGGCCCGGGCACGGGCCAGGCAGAGCAGGCGACTCAGGCGCCGGAGGTCGCAGAACGACCTCCATCCTCCATAAGCGCAGGCCTGGGGGTGACAGGTGAGGCCATCTGTCACCCTAGCAGAAGCAGGCCGGGGTGGCGGCGAGCGCGTTGCGAAGCGCGCTCGCTTCCAGGGAGCACAGGGAACATGGGGCTCCTACACGGGGCGGGGGTCGTCTACTCGTCTGTAGATGACCCGAGGTATGTCGGGGCACCAGGGACTTCCTTTCTAGGGTATACCTGGTTCCCCGGCTATTAGTACCCGGCGAAGGCGTGCGGTTTTAGTCGGTTCGTGTCCGACATGCCACCGACAGGTGGTATCCGAGGGGATTTCCGCACGGGAAAAAAAAAAAAAAAAAAAAGGGGATATGATGATGGTTCTAAGAAGAACACGTTTCGTAATCTGTCTCTATACCTATCGTATAACATACGTATATCAACTTATTGTAAATCAATAAATTACTTAAAATAAAATAAAATAATGAATAAAACCAAGTGAGTGATCAGGTAGACTGTATTGATTATATGGCATTTTACATACGCACATTATTATAGCTTCGATCGTTTACCAGTGTACAAGAGGTCCATGTACGTAAGCGGAGGGTACGGCGGCGATGTGAGTAGGGAGTACGTGCGTTGAATAAGCGAACGGCGCGGACGCAACGAACGGTGCTGGAGCCACAGCGACACTCTTCAGCGCCAGTGGTGCAAGCACTGGGGCGGAGCGTTTCTTCAACAGGTGGAAGCCGGCACCAGACAGTGCCTTAGCAGTGTAGTGTGCAGATTTGTCTAAGTTCACATCCAAAGTGTCCAGCGGCCTTCCGTCAGCAGCGATAATGCTTGCAGGCTGGCCGGGGGCGAGGGACAGAGGCCCTCTGTAGTTAGATGGCCTGAGCAACGGTGCAGTGTAAGCAAAGGGTGCTGAGTACGCCAAAGGCAAAGGTGCGAAAAAGCTGCCAGCCGCAGCCATCGCCAACATGCAGGACAACACCACCAGCTTCATCATCTTGAGTGTGAATGTGGTCTGTGTTGCTGTGAAATCTAAGATGTACTGATGCATTTGTACAGTAAGAGAGGCTTTATATATTAATATGATAATTTTGATCTAGATGGGGGCGTCACCGGAATGCATCGCTGGCCATGAAGGGACAACTTTTGTACAAGAAAATAAAGTTTACTTGAATAAACCATTAACTTGCCGATCACCAGCGATATACTTGTGTTATATGAACAAATCTCACAATCTCTATTTAACTACACAATAAATTAAACGCAGTAGATATATTACAAAATGATAACTAAATTCTAAAATTGCTCTAAATTTTAAAATTTAAACTATATTAGTCACAAAGTCTACAATCTCTATATTTTTCGTAAATAGCTGAATATATGGCAGCAGTAAATTATCATTAGAAAAACTTAAATTGATAGGTTTGAGAAATTAAGTTTTTAAGATATATTCCTTTGACCTTTGAATTAGAAGGACGACCATTTGACCATTGGATTTTAAAGTTGTTGTTTTTATCAAAAACATACATAGTTGATGCACTTTTAAACAATTACCCATTTAACAACAAATTTTTCGTATTCTTATGTAGATTTTAATTGAATGTTAGTTTTTTCTACTTGAGAAGCTCTCTGAGCAAAAGTATTATGTTGTTACACAGTCGGTTCCTTTTCCTACATGGATGTTTTGACATGTAATCTGTTTTTTTTCTTTCAAGGCTTTCCCATAGACACAGAAACAAACTTTAATTATTTTATTTAACTGTAGAAATAATATAGGTCAGTTTATTTATATGCATATATAAATATTAACCTCCTTTTTTTCAGTTTCTTCTTATAGATTTACACGGTGAAATCATCCCATGAAGTTTAAACATAAGTTTCAGTTCGTGATGAAGTTAAGAATATCATCAAAACTGTCCATGTCATTTGTAACATAGATTTGTAACAACTTATAGATTCGGCATCAAAAGTGTGTCTTTGCAGTAGATAATAATTATAATAATCATTTTATTTGTCTGTTGACCATAGCTCTCATTTAAGATTGTTCAAAACATACAATCAATAAAAAAATTAAAATTAAACAATTCAATGAACGAATGAATAGAAATTATTTTTGGTAGTACCTACAACAAAAAAACTCAATTAATGTCATTGAACGACAACAACTGGCAACAAAACGTGTTCATCTAATAAGGCTATTCTATTTTTTTTTCTTCCAACTACAATCTAAACACTTTTAAGAAGTATCACACTTCCAAGAAAGCATTTGATTTCGATAACGGCTTTTAAGAAGAAGACTGGTATTACGAAATTTTACGCGTTAGGATATATACTAAAGGTGAATAATAGTAGATGTATATACCTATTTCATTTCAAAACTCTGTTTCTTATTCCAATTCAATTATTTTATACTTCTATCACCTCACACATCAACAGCCTTAAATAGTCCACTGCTGGACATGGGCCTCTCCTTAGAAAGAAGGTTTTGGGCTACTATACCGCGCTGGCCAGACGGGTTGGTATAAGGTTTGTGTCAAATTTCCTTCTCTTTAAGGTCCTGTTCTCCTGCGTAGTTTGCTCCCTTGGTCGGGTCTTACGACACCCACGGGTTGAATGGCGAATGACGGGTGGTGGTGACTCTGTATTCTCAATCCGTCACCGCTATAAGTAATAAAATCACTATATACTAACGCCAATACTATTTTTTTTGCTGAATTCCATACTTATATTTGAAATGAGTAAATCTCAACCCTATTTGAAAAAAAACATTTCACTAATGGAAAGCCACATTATCAGCAAGTTACATAGGCTACTTTTTACCGCGATAACCGACATACACGTGGGCGGAGCCGCGGGCAAAAGCTAGTGTATTTTAAATATGAAAGTGAGTTTGTTTGCATGTCTGTTTGTAGTGCATTCACGCCTTAACCACTAAACCTATTTTAAAAATTCTTTCCCGAGTATCAGCGAGTAACATATGCTACTTTTTACCGCAACAGTAATAAATAATTCGCCATTTATATCATGTCAGTTTAGATAAGTCATTGATGTGCCGCCTATCCTAATCTAATCACACAAGAACGTGATATTTCACTACTCACCAAGTTATTTGAGGTGTCCTATTCCAAAAGATTATAATTTAAGCGAACGGGAAAGATTGATACTGACTAACGAGAGGAACAACTGGAAGTGCAATTACATAGTATTTAAATCCTTTCTTATTTTGTTTTTTTTATTATTTTGTAGTTGTACTACCATTTGATTACTTCACATTATAAAAAAATAGTACGGAAAAATGAAAGACCAACTATTTTCTTGTGAAAATGTTGTTAGTTTAAATTGTTAAAAATAATAGCTATAAATTTATGGATGTGTGTGGATGCCATCAAACGTTTGGACCAGGGACGAGTGGATGGTATCTGGTTCATAAGAGGTCTCCACTGCGCTACAGTTAACAAATAAAATCAACAGTTAATTAAAACATAGTGTTTTGTAGACGAAAACCAACATGTTTCGTCACGATTATTCTATCCTCTTGACAAACGAGTGAAAAAAAACACAAACTATGTTTTATTTTTATTTTGCGACATTGACATGTAAAAACTTTCAATCGTATACATGTGTCCCTCTAGGTAACAATATAACAACGAAAAGTATATTCCAAAACCATGATGCATGTACCAGCTGCTTGGTACAATATATGCTCAGGACCATAAGTCTTCAATAAAAAAAAAACAGTTATTTTACATTTTTATGCACTTATGTACATCGGCGGACTTAATACCCTGGGCATTCACTACCAACCTTTCGGTGGTTTAGAAATATTGTAAGGTAGGTGTACCGATGTTACAAATGTAATCACTGATTATGTGTTAAAAAACTTCACTTATTTTTTTTTAATAAGTGACTGGCAACCTTATACATTACTTAAAAATAAAGGTAATACCAGTTGTAATAATGAATTAGGAATTTGTGTTGGGTAAGAGAGTTGAAGAATACAAAAGACGAGGAAGGCCAAATAAAAGGTAAATAGACTGTGTGAGTGAGGATATGGAAAGGAGTAAACAGTGAGACGTAGAACGAAAGAATCATACTTACTGCGCCGACCCCAAATAAAATAGGGATAAGGGTAGGCAGATAATAATGACCAAGAATTTTCTTAAAATAATTATATATAGAAGACTAGCTTTTGCCCCTCTACTCGTTATCGGTATGTCGGTTATCGCGGTAAAAAGTAGTCTATGGTACTCACTGGTAATGTAGCTTTCCATTGGTGAAACAATGTTCAAAATCGGTTTAGTGGTTTAGGCGTGAAAGCATAACAAACTCACTATAACATTTATAATAAGGGTAATAAGCGTGAGGGATCTATGGCCCTTCGGTCGGAACGAAATTCCTTTCGCGTTTTCGTAAAGGTTTGTTTGTTGACAAAAAAAAATCGGCAAAAGTCTTGTTACACATTTTTCGGTCTCGCTCCCATCCGATCAGAGTGTGTAACGCGCTATAAGGAACTTCGTTCAAATAAGTATCGATTACGTAACGTTGTCTAAAGGGTGGAAACTATTTACATCAAGCAAGGGCTAAGTGTAAACAGAAGTGTTTAGGCAATGTAGTTATAGTGTAAATGTTTAATTCATTGTGTAACTCTTCGTCCTAACCGTTGTCTTTCTTGTCCAGGTTAAGACGAAATATACTCATCTTGTATGATGTAAGATTAACGTATTAGTATAAATGTTATACCGTAATAAAGCAGTGAATAAGGAATATTAAAGAAAATACGGTTTTCAAGTAACTCTCTTTATAAACTAGAGGCAGTATACAGTCGATAATTCTAAATTACTATTGCTTACACAATATTTCACCAATGATGTGCGAGATGGCCGGCGTGTCCCAGACCCCAACCATGTGGCGCAACAGATGCATGCCAAGGTCCCACAGCTGGGACGCCGAAAGCAGCATGGCCGACACCAAGAGCGGGCACGTCGATACGAGCGGCATGGGACCATGCTGCAGGCACCAACAGAGGAGCGGAACGCTTACCTATAAGATGACCATGTACACCATGAGCACTATGGGCATCTACAGCTTTTGCAGTGTAGTGCAGCGCACGATCTACATTTACACTAAGAGTGTCAAGAGGCCTCCCGTCATGCGCTACGATGTTAGCAGGCTGTCCAGGAGCAAGCGACAAGGGGCCTCTGTAGTTGTAGGCGGCACCGTGAAGAGGAGCAGCGACTGCTACAGCTGGTCCGGCGTGAGCGAGAGGCGCAGCTACTACGGGAGCAGCTAAAGGTGCAGCCCAAGGAGCTGCGGCTACGACGCCCAGGTGAGCTCCCCAACCATGAGCACCCCACGGAGCCAGGCCAAACCCACTAGGCTTAGCGGCCGCCACGGCCAACACAACTGACAACACCACCAGCTTGAACATTGTGGTCTGTGTTGTTTTCTAAACAGAGAGCAACTGTGATTTTACCCTCTAAGTTTCAGCTTTTATACAAATCAATTTCGTAGGCGTATTCCAGATACCTTTGTGACGTCGGCAATTATGCGGCTAGGCGTTGGCTGTAGGTCAGTCAAAGGAAAGGACTATTTGACAGTATAAACAAGCGCCAGAAGCAGTATCCACAGCTATAATTATGGTGTCAGGACAAAATTCAACTCTAAACAAATCGGTATACACTTGATAATGTCCAGTGTCAACACGACTTCCCTGTTTACCTTGAACGTGTGGATAAAGGGCCATTCACTTCTCTCTTTATTATTGTTAATATATATAAATACTTAATTAACTGTCTGTTTTCTACATTACATGTGTTGATGAATCCTTGTAATTATTACGTGAAGTTAATTAACAGATTCAACAGACAGAATGATTGTCTAAGACTTACACAACAGAGGCTTATTTCTCTTTATGAGACGTCACACGTTTTAAATTCTATGGCGGCGGCGGCGTCTTGATTAAAAATATTCGTCCCTCAAAAACGCAATAGAATATATCTGAAGCACCCAAGAGGCTGTAATTGGCAACCGCGGGAATTCAAATTCAGAAACCAAAGCATTTTTTATGCACTTAATGTAATACATTGGTTATACATATGCACACTGTGGTCAGAACCTCTTTTTTTCATGTAATTTTTTGAACAAAAACTATAAATTTTCAACAAAAATACCGAAATCTTAAAATTCTTTTATACGATTAATAGCAATGAAACAAAATTTCATTGTTTTATGAAAAAAAAATATGATTTCTAATTCAGCACCTGACGAAAAGTGAATAACTTTTGTTTTTAAACAATACGTTTAATAAAACTTTCCTTTCAAGCACTCTACTAAAAGCGGATTAGACACAGTTTTTTCACAAAACGAATTCAGATAGGTACTATCCTCTATTACCTACTTCCCTATATTCTTATACCTACTTCCATTTTAACTATTCATTAATAATTTAATCATTTTAATATAATAATTAATAACTAGTCATTAATAATTTCATCACTTTAATATAATAATAAATAAATAAGGAAATAGGGTTCATAAATAGTTTTAAAAGTTCTCCTAAATATTAACTTCCATTTCATTGAAACGAAATCAATTCAGAAGCATTTTATATGTTGCGGGATTATCGTACCTGTAACTTCTCATGGTTTAGTTTACTTTTTCCTTATTCCTTTCAGTCTAATAGAAATTACAATTTGGTGTTATCACTTAAGCTGGAACTAAGGGAGCCGACTAATGGAATAAACTCTGCAGGACAACAGCACTGCAAAGAGAAGGAAAACTTGAAGCAAACCCTATACCAACCCGTCTGGCCAGCGTGGTATGGCAGGCCAAAACCTCCATTCTAAAGGGAGGCCTATGGCCAGCAGTGGACTACTAAAGGCTATTGCTTGATTGACTAATATTGCAGATTATTCACACTAAACTTTATTTATTAAAATCTATTAAAAAAGTTTTTTAAACGTGTAATTATTTAAAAAAATATATTTTCTTTTCATCAGGCGCTTCAAAGTTATACTTTAGATTTTCTAAGTTAGTAAAATATTAAAGCGGAAGTTTTGGAATTCTGTTTTTTTTTAATGAAAACTACATGTAACAAAAATTGAATTCTTACTACACTTTGCAAAATTACCTACTCACCCAGATTACTATTACTAATAATAATTACGACCTTGTTCAGAATTAAAATATATGTGATTCCGCCCGTTAAGACGATCACAATATTTAGAATGGAACATCGGATGAACAAATCCATCGAATGAATATGCGCATGTTAGGACAGCGAGAACTGAAAATCAAGAAATACATTTTACAATAAATGACCCGATGAACCGATGAATGGAGAATCTATCTTAGTCACACATCATATTAAAAACATTTAATCATGTCGCAATTAGTACTAACGAAATGTTATCGTAATTTTACTATTAAAAGTAATAAACGAATCATTAGTTCTGTCAATAACCGACAAAGTTTCTCGAATGGGTTTTTCGTCAAGCAAATTGCTTTAACCCCCCTTTTTTAAAATCATAAGACGTATCAGTCTTTGCAAGGACTGCCTCAGGCAGCGTGTTGTAAATCACACATTGTGTTATATTCGCATTTAAATATCAATATTACACTTGTGGAACCTGAAAAATGTGTTTCCAGTGTCTTCGTGAATAATAAAGTGTCTTTCTAAGATTTTTTTGAGAGCTTTTTTAAGCTGCATTTAACCTTCACGAACGTAAAAACCTTTCAATTTTATATGTTGTTAATGTTAGATTTTTTTTTGTAAAAGTTATAATAAGAAGGATCCCATACTAACTGCTTATGGAGTGATTTCTAAAATATGTTCTCTGGATGTTTTTTATGCATGCTATGTATTTAGACACAATATAAAAACTCAGTTTATTTATCCTTGTTTATGGTCACACCAAATACAAGATGGGTAAGTGACCTCGACCCCTTCATTTTTTTTTATAGTTTAGGGATCAAACAAGTAGAGGGGTCACCTGATGGTATGTTACTACTGCAATCCCTGTCCTCCTCCGAGACTTTTGACACCCCTTACAAAAGCCTACTCACCCAATCTTTTTTTTACCCTATTAACGTTTTTGCATGAATTTCCATGACATACTCAATTTAGAAAAAAAAAGGATTTCCATTGAATTCAAAACCTTTTTAACTGCTTGTTGGGTAGTTTAGACGCCAAATCGTAAGAAACCAACCAATTCACATTCGTATTTTCTATAAACTAGTGAAATCTATAAAGATTTGTGTTTCAAGTGGGTGTTGCATGAAATCAGAAAGATGAGTTTGTTGTCCATAAAACTCTTATAATGTTTTCAACTTCATAAGCTTTTGGATTAAATTTATTTAAAATGTAAAACAACCTACCAGCTAACTACTTTAATAAACGAATGGCGGCTATATGCGGCTTTATGTATGTGAATTCAGATTTTTTCAATATACAAAAGTCTAGTGAAGGTCGTGGGAGGCCGTTGGATGCGGGCAACAAAGGACCGGTTGTTGTAGCGAATCTCGGGGGAGGCCTATGTTCAGCGGAAGAGATGCTGAGATGATGATAATTATAATAGTCTTTTTAGTAACCCTAACAACATGTGTGCAAAATTTCATTACAGTCATTTAAGTAGTTGAGGACCGATAGCGTAAGAACTAAAAAGACAAAATCAAAACTGTTTTCTTTGGCTTTGTATTTTTTTTGTAAAGACCATCTGTAATTATTTACATCTGTCGTGATAATAATTTCCATTATCTGTGTTTGGTTGTCTCCTGGTTTTCAATGGTTAGTGGAGAAAAAAAAAATGATGGTGGATGTCGTGTTGCTATGAAAAACTGTAAATACCTTCCTAATAAAGACTATATTGTGTTCTAGCACATTTAATAGTTTTTTTTAAGGTCGAAGAACAGTATGTTGTTAGTACGCTGTACAAATATACTAAAATTATTTTTAATGATTTCCGTCTATACCGACAGCAGACAACCCTGAGTGTTTATATTTTACTAAACGGCTATCGAATATTAAACGAATATTGATAAAATGCTTTGAATAAATTTTTAGACCTCCAAGACCCTGAATTTATAGACTCCTGGCAAGACTTTTCAGCAGCCCATGACGCTACAAATTATCAGTGTTTAAAAATAGTAGTTACAAATAATTGGAATACATGGTAGCAAATTACTGATTTACATATTATTATATTTCATTATTCTTTTTTTTTTCTTTTTATTTCTTTATTAATTCATCGCGTTTTAACTACTCAGTGTCATCATCTTCGTTCATCATATTTAACAAGAATAAGCACCATTTGATGGCGAAGCGAGAACCGCTACCTATGACCATTAATAATACTAAGCAGAAGAATCGCATGACTTTTTTATACTTATTCATAGTCGGCGGACATTTCCATTGAATGACTACCTGAATTATTTGAAGTGCACGTGTTTGTTTGTTTTGTTTTGTTTGTTATGCTTTTGATTGTAAAAAAATTCACCATGAAAAGCTACCGACATACTGTCTGACAATCTGGTAATCGCGTACGCATGCCTTAGAATCGCAGATTTTTATTGGTCAAAATATCAGTATTCTGCTAACATACACTCACAGTGTCAATAGACTGTCGATAAAGTGTCAATGACTCATCAATGGCGATATTAACAACATTGCCATATCTGGCAAGTTAACTATTTTCATTTCTTTTCAAATTAAACTGTATCGTTTAGCAAACTATTACAAAGAGATCGTCGACATTTGTATCAGTGGCAGTTCAGTGACAAGTCATCCATTGGTCTTACATAGTTAGTAGAATACGACAAGTACAAAACTCTTCCAACGACAGTCCATCGACAGTTTATTGATACAATATTAAAATAGCAGAATCGAGGCCCTGGTCAGAGGATCCTTCCTTTGTGTCGGAGGGATATAACACCCGTCACTCTATACTTACAACACTTTTAATTGTATTTATTAAATATATTTATTTATTTATTTATTTATTTATTTATTAATAAGTACTACCACATCATACATATTATACTTATAACTAGTTTTGACAATACGTGGCATTATACCTGATATGTATGACAATTAAGGTGTACATAGCATTTACTGTAATGTAGTAGTGTAAAAAGTAGTAAATTAATTACAATAAAACGAGAAAAAAAAAACTAACTAAAGAAGAGTATACTTAATAATAATAATAAACTGTTTGAATTAATACTACTCTAAATCTATTTTATATCTTATTCACATTTGTTTGGGGTTAAGGTAGATGGACACAACACATTTGTTATTTTAGTTTTAAATTCATTATACGATTGGCGAAAGATGTCAATGTCAGGATCACGAGTTTGGATACTATTATATTGGTTAAGGACTCTATTTATTGGTGAATGTTGGCCTAGATTAGTTCTTGAAAATTGTGTGTG